TTAATTATAATAATTAATGATAAATTTAAAAATTTTTATTAAGAGTAAAGTTCACTTTGAATTTCATAAAATGTGTGTAAAAAAATACTTTATTCTCTTATTTATTCGTTAAATAATATCAAAAAATATTTAATATAAATAATAATATAATAAACAATTATTATTTATTTAATCAACTTTGTAATTTCTAATTTAACAATAATAAATTATTCAAGAAGAATGATTGGTTGACTTGAATTTTTATCAAGTCAGGTCGGGTCAACCTGTTAACCTGACCTGACATTAACCTGAAAATCTATTGACCTGATCTAAATTTTCAGGTCAGTTCAGATCAGGTAAACAGGTCAACCTAACCTGATTCAGAGCTTTAACTAAAAATATAAATAAAAAAAATAAACGATCTAAGTCAAAAGAGAATTAAAAAAAGATTTTAAAAAAGAAAATATTGAAAAATAAATAATTTGATCTTTGCGACCTATAGTTGCTGCCCAACCCATATCTCATTTTCAAATCTCATTAATAATATCAAGATTTTAATTGATTATTACTATCTAATTTCTTCGATTTAATAAATCCATAATCAGAATTATATTTTCTGCTAATAAATGATGTTGTTCTTGAACTGATTTCATATTCTATAACTAAATACAATAAAATAATTCAACACCTTTTTTCAATTTGTAAAAAAGAATTCCTTTTAACAAATTAATAATAACAAGTAATTAATGCTTTCATTCCATAATATTTACGAAAAATTTAGGCTTAAAAGATTTTTTGAAAATATCAAAAATTACAGAGAAGGTAACAAAATAAAGTTCTATTAAATAGTTTAATATACGGAATACTAGAAGATGGAATTCTAAAAGAAGCCAATGAATCAGAAAATTATTTGGCTAAATTCTTTTAGAATTAAAAATCACCATCAACATTAAATATCAACAAGTATGATGAGATTATCACTGTAATAAAAATGGGAATAAATAGAAATAAAAGTAAAAATACTTTTTTGACTAAATAACAGTAAGAAAAATTTATCTTCAATTTTATTAAATTGATTTTATTTTTCGCTATTAGCCAATTTTTTTTAAGGATTGCAAATTTCTTTTTACACCTATCAAATTTTAAAACAAAATTTTATAATGACTTAATATTAGTTCAATTAAATTATTTGAGGGATAAGTAATATGAAGAGTACTTTTCACATTATCAGAATTTGAAAACCTTCATAATACTGGTCGAAATAGTCCAAATCAGACAAAAATCAGACGTCTGATTTATTCAGAATCTTAGATGAAAGACATTTGATTTTTCTAAAAAATTTAAATTCTGACTAGTTACCGATTGGCAGCCAATCAGACATACTTTGAAAAGAAATTCAGACAAAAATTGTATGGAATTCAGAATTAAGTTTCATCAAAAAATGGGAAAATAATAAAAATTTGTTTATAAAATATAGTATATACAGTATTTGATTATTATACAAAATGTTTAATATATAATTTGATTATTATATGAAATGTTCATTTATATTTTAAATATTTACATAAAAATAAAGAATAAATTAAAGTGAAAGTGAATGGTAAAAATAAAGTGAATAGAAAATATATATATATATATAAGTAAAATAAAAAAGTAAAATAAACAAATATAAAAGAGAATAAATTCTTCAGTAAGTTCGACAGATAAATTTTACTAATAGGAGCAGGAACTTGCCGATTTGTATGTCTTTTAAGATGATTTTGATATAAAAAGGCTAAATAAAAGCTAATTAAAAAATGTAAAAAGAATAAAATAAGACGAATGAAAATACGTTAATAATCATCCATAACATCATCATCAGAAATGGTGTTTCATCAATTTTGTATTCCTTTTGCCTTTCTTTAGCTTGTTTTTCTCCAACTTGTAAACTTTTTTCGTCTTTTTAGCCATCAATTTCTGTGTCGAATGCCATGTCTTTTTGTTCAATATATACCCATTTAGAAGCATTTTTTGGATGCATATAATCGAAGTGTTGCAACTCATCATCATATTGTCGATCTCTTTGTAACTTGGCCATTTGAATTGATTCAGAATGACAATCGAAAACATTTTGAAGTAGCATTTTCAGCTAAAAAAAAATATTACAAAATGAAATAAATCAGACATGAAAAAGAAAATAGACTACAAATCTCGTTTGAGCGTCATGAGTAATTATAAATACAGATGATGGTTTTACTCAAATCTTTCTCATCATCTTCATTAATTTCAGGTGAGTAGTATAATTGATTAGCTAAATTCAACAATAACTCGCATTTCTCATATTTCATAATTTGTTCATTCCCTTTTTTATAAAAGTCTTTCACAGCTTTCACTTGATGCAATCTTTTCTAGATAACGATTGATATAAAAATTAGTATATATGATATATGACAAAAAATATATATATAAATTTGTTAATTTTAATATTTACGTCTTATATCTGACCATTATTGTAAACACAACGATTATTTTCAGTAATTCTTCCAGTACTCTTCAACTTAGATTGCGAATGATGGGACTTGTGAAGGCTATTAAGCCATTTTATTAGTTGACCAACTGAAGGATAAAAATGTGGCCTCAACGCTCTCTGGAGCTCCAGAATTAGTTTGCTCTAGATTTGAATATTTTGTTCACTATTGAACGTCTCATTGTAGTCAATATTATTAATTGGCTTGATTGTTTTTAGTATAATCTTCATCTCATTCTAAATAAAAATTAAAAATCAGAACAATTAGTATAAAAGTATAAATCTGTTTAATGTATACTGTACAAATTTATATACCCTTGCTTTTATTTCTTCAGGTTTTTCCATCGAGCTGATACTTTTCGATGATACATAATCCTTATCATTAGCGTAACGTAACAGTTTTTTCCTTTCTTTGATTTTTTATCAAATTTAAGATGTTTTATCAATCGCTTATTATCAGAATTAGAAGAGTTATTTAATGCACTAAATGATGATACAGAACTTTGGCTTTGACTAAATGCTTTTTTTAGTTCTGCGTTTTCATTCTTTAATTTGTCACTTTTGTTGCTAAAATCTAAATTAACACCGGTAAGTATTTCGTTGTCCTCCCTTAAACAATTTATTTCACGAGATACTTTTTCTGCATGTTTTGATAATTTCTCATTTCGTCATTCTAACTGATTGTATTTCATACGTAAATCAGATAATTCTATTGCTAAATTCTGGTAGTTGTCCTCTGTGTAAAAAATATAAAAGATATAAAAGTCATTAACAAAAAATAAACTGATA